GGCCTTCTTTAGAGATTATGTTTTTCTCTTTTTAAGATAATAAAAATATATTTTAGATAATATCACTAAGTACTGCGTTATTTTAAATCTTAGTGGTATATGTTAATTGAAAAAAAAATTTCCTTATCAAATATTTTTTATATTCAAGGAGGAAGTAAGTATATTATTTAGACAAAATCCAGAAAAGGGCAAGCCTTGAGCAAGGAACTTTACACCCATTGTCCAGTGCTTCCTGGTTGGAGATCGTGTCTGTTATTATGGTTACGTTTTACTACACTGTCAAAATAATATTATGTATATACTAAAACAAATTTGTATTTAGTAACCGTTTTTGTAAATGACCTCAGACCTCTACTTTTTACGTATGAAAGAATACAAACTATCACAAATTGCAAAAGTATTATACACACTTTTATTATTTGATTTGATAATCAGAATGTATAAACACTACAGTCAAATTAACTGTAAAGTATTGATATATACATATATTTTTAATTGATGAGATATGATGTACATGTATTGAATCACAATGTTAAGTGCAATCATTTTACATTAAGGTATTGCAATATCATTCTGTTGTTGACCATGTCCAATAAAGCTACATGGCCAAATCCAGCTACATGGCGTACTAATATCAACCTCTGGTCAATTTTGTAAAACGTTATTGTCTTTCGGACTTCCTTGTGTCATAAGTTTTTTACGCATTATAACTATTTTCATTGCATGCAGGAATTTGCAAGTATATTGTGGCAATTTCTGGGTTATTATATCGACAATAGGCTTTTTTGTTGCATTGTTTTTAACAATAGATGCTTAAAATTGTTTTCTTAAGTATAACAAATGTGTTTTTGTGAATTTGAATACATACATGTAGTTTTATCATTTTGATATTGTATATGTTTTCTTCTATTGTTAGATAATATGGCTAAGGAATTTGCGTATTAAGTTTGTGAAAATGCATCCGGATTTCTACTGTAATAGACAATAATAATAGAAAAGCATTATGTCCATGATCACGTTTCTTGTTTTCATAATGCTTGGACGAATAAGCCTTTGACTGAAACTAAATCTCTGTTTTAAAATGTAATTAAAATTTGCATTTTGTAAAATATATTGTGGTATTTATATAAAACTTTTAGACCTTAAATTACAAAAAAATATCATCTAAATTATCTTAATGCTGCTCTTAGTATGTCTTGATTAAAAGATAGACATGTTCATTTAAGATATTTTCCGTGAAAAAATGGGTTATAGGGTTGGACTAAATCAAACTGATTTTGCAATTTTCATTTAATTTTGTTGTTATAACTGCTTCTGTGGAATCATAGTTTTTTTCCCAGATTTTTATACATGTATATAGCCATGCATTTCAGTATTTTGTCCACTTTAGTATCCGATAAGAAAAATGGCCAGCTAAATAACCATGTTATGAATTGAACCATTACAAAAACAAGCTTTACGTGATAAGGGTAAGCTGGAAGATATTATTTATGCGCAGTAAATTTTCTTAAGAAATAATTTTGATAGGACGACGAAAGCCTATTTATGCCAAATGTTCATGAATATACCTCTAAGTATGATTCATTTATAAGATATAGGGCAAATCCTTTATGAAAGTAAAGATAAGATATTTTATGTAAGCGAGAGCAAATCATCTTTAAGTTTCCATTTAGGCAAAATGCTTGCCAAGTTAGTCTAACAACGGCACATTAGCATATGCAAACATAGTTTGAACTATCATGATATTAATATAAAAACAGTATATGTAGTAGATCAGAGGGAAAAGATGAAAGTGAATGTTTTGAAATGGTAAAATTAAAAACACTAAAGATCTTCATTGTTGTGGATTAAGATATATGTAAACATTTCATTTACGTATAAGCACACATCTTTCATTAAAAAGATATTTTAATTAATGGGAATTCATATGAAATATGAAATATACAAATTATGTAGGATTAAAAAGGAAATGTTTAGCAATAACGCTGTTATTTGTTGCAAATGTTTGACATTTGTTATCATTCATTTTGCGCAGTTAGGAAACGTAGATGATTAGGTAAGGTCAACTTTTAATTACAATTGTAATTAAATTATTTTAATAGATCACAATAATAAGTTACATGTTGCCATTATATAGCCTTATTGACATGTACTTTTATATTTTTGTCAAATTTTTAAAATGTAAAAAATATCTACTTCTTCGACTGTAACAATTCCAGGTTATTTTGAGAACGAAGTGTTTTGAACGGGCAGTAAAAACAATTTTGCAATTATAAGGCACAGTATTCGGCCAAACCGAAATTGATTACGTTATAGCGTCCATTGAAAAGGAACAAGAAATTCATTTCTTGAACCTACCGACATATCAGTCTCATTTTAATGGACTATAAAACAAAGTCTTTCTTGTAATTGGTTGGATTTCTTAATGTGCGTTTTTTTAGTAGATTGTAAATACTTTTTTAATGTTTTAGAGTGAAAGATAGCAGATAAATTCAATTGATCACCAGTTAGAAATTGTCCTGAATGTTTCTTTTTGAAACAAGTTGTAACTAAACAGCAACAAAGATGTGAATTTAAATTGAAATAAATTTTTGTAAAAAAAGTAAAAGCTTTTATATGATATTTTCTTTATGGTACACATATTGATTGACACAGGGACCGTATTCCGACGTATATGGATGTATATGCAAGTGTGAGATAGAAATCTAATTTCCATGATCACTACTGTATGAATACATCACTGGATTTTACAAAACCTCTAAATTGATGAGCATTTTTTACAAAACTCCTACATTGATGAGCATTATTTGTATTTAAATTATGATGAATGCTTGTAAATCGCTTGCATATGTAGTGAGAACACATTTCCTTAATAAGAACGATCAGTGGTCTCATGTGTCGCCATAACTCGGCAAAAATAATTCAACCTAAAAACTTGTGTAATATGCGCAAGAATGTGAGCTATCGACCAATCCTGTTTCATTGAAATTGCATTAGTGTTGTAACAGGAGTAGTCATGACAAGTTTCAAATTTAAAAACATGAAGGGACAAAAACTCTGACAAAAATCAAGGAACATAAAAATGTTGATAAGATGCACAACTATACATAGTTTCAGGTGAAAAACATTTTTATAAAGCAGAAGTACTTGACCTTCCAATCGATCATTCTCCTAAAGTTTTTGAAATTGCATCAGTCTTTTCTGAGGAGTAGTCCCGACAAACTTCTGTGTAGCTGGCAACACACACAAAAAACCTTTTTATTCAAGGGCAATAACTCAGCCAAAATATATTCAGGTGAAAAACATTTTTATAAAGCAGAAGTACTTGACCTTCCAATCGATCCTGTAAGGTTTCATTGAAATTTCATTAATAGTATTTTAGGAGTAGGCCGGGCACATTTTATCAACAACCTTTTCATTCAAGGGGAATAACTGGGCAAAAAAATCATTCAAATGGAAAACCAGTGTAATATGCGCAAGTAAAGATTCATTGAAATTGCATTAGTAGTAGTAGAGGAGTAGTCAAGACAATGTTTGAAAAATAATTAAAGAGCCATAAATCCGACAAATTCATTGAATCAAAATAGCTGATGAAATGCACAACTACACTAAGTGCTGATCATTCCAGTAAGGTTTGGACGAAATTGCACCAGAAGTTTATGACAAGTTTTGTGACAGACAAAAAGAAATCTACACAACAAAAAAAAAACGACACAAAAGTCTAGAAAATGATATATTTACTTGCTGAACGTTATGTTCTTCTTTCTTAGTTTCCAACTCTGACAAAGTGGATTTTTTTTTGATAAAACTGTACAATTTTAAAATTTGTTTTGTAAAAAACTATCGTCTCTCTTGAGTGTCCTTTTTATTTGTAAAACAATGTTACAACGCCGAACATCATTGTTTGTTGTTAAGATTTCATTTAAAAAAAACACAAAACAGCGAATAAGCAAAAACAAAAAACAAAGTTTGATGCTTACCATTTGTCAATACTTTTTATTTGAAAAAAGACAACTGTATCTAAATAGTAAGTTGCATTTGTTTCTTATAGACGGATTTCTTACAGCTACACGCCTCCAGATTCATGCTAATGTTTATGAAAATTTCGAAACCGTATTAAAAAGTAAAATATTTTCAAGTGAACAAGAAGGAAATTTACACATTGCAAACGGCACGTGCAATCCAAGTAGAGTACCAAAAAATTTATATGAATAAAAATCAAACTTGATTATGAAACTGAAATATATGTATACATATTAAATAAATTTAATTTCTAGTATGTACTGTTCATGCTTATTACAATTAAACTTCTATGTAATGTTTATATATTTGAAAGAATCACTGTATATTTTGTATCATAAAAAATATAAAATAAGTTAAATGTTCTGTTTAGACAATTCATGCGTATATTCCAAAAAAGTATTTCACAAAATAACTAACAAAATTGTTTTTCATTCTACATCAAGTGTAATCACATTTTAAAAACTTTTATTCTCAACATTTTGTCGAGTAATTTGTAATTTCTTGAATGAAATCCGAATAGTTAAAAACAAATTGTTAATAAAACCTTAGTTCTGTAACATACATTAGGCCAGTTGCATCTGTGTTCAGAAATATTCAGTATCATCAACTACATATTAATATCTAAAAAGTCTTTTGTTTAGACGTAAATTAACTGCAGTGTTCTAGACAAAACATTATAATTGATATTCAGCCAATTTATGTAAGATTTCTTGATACAAGAATATATAAGTCACGTGATCATATATTCATTTCCTCTATCAAAATTCGGATTGATTCGTTTAATTAAAAGTGCCAGTAATTAGGGCCATGATTAGTAATTTTTGTACAAACAAGGTAATACTTTAATGCATTTCTTGCTGGTGATATATAATTAACAAAATATACACAATTTTTCCATGTGAAAAATACCATTGGAGGGGCGTTGAGGCTTCATTTTTACACCAGTAAAGTCAAGAGAGCAAGATAGCATACAAAGATAGAAAAACACATTTTTTATTAGATTTTGAAACGTGCTAAATGAACAAATATGTTTAAAATGTTAATTTGATAAATACATTTTAATTGAATTTTCGAAAACAGGTCAGATGTTTCCTAGGCAAATTGCACAACTTTGTCCCTGTAGATTCAATGCATAGCGGTTTTCTTGTCTTCACATTATGTAGAGTTGTAATTGGTGTAAAGTTTCATCTAAGCAAAATTAATCCAGAAGCCACAGTTGGTCTGAAAATAATAAAAACTACGAATAATTGCCTCTTAATGTAAGGATTAGAGAAGTTAATTCCAATGATAGGTTCTGTGAAGTTAAACGTGTAAAAAGAAATAATTTTGTGATTTTTATCAAACACAATTCTGTCTGAAAGTATGAAATGGAACAATCGCATGAATTCATATTAAAAACTGACGCGTTAATTGATTAACATGTAAATTTTAAGCGTTTCACAAAAAATCTTTTACGTCATTGTGTCATTGTAAATTTGGTGGTATTATTTGGGGTCGCATCTAAAAAATAAATATATTTGTTTTATATTTACCTTTTTACACCTTTGAATATTTCCATGTTGGTATATCTCTGGATTTGAACAGAAATTATTTATATACTGCATAGTGATATTTTAATCAAGGAACAATAAGATAATTATGACGCTTCTTTCAATCCTAAAACTGTTAACTAAGAGACTGTTTTATAGTCTTCGGTCCTGCGGAAAATCACTTGGAGCAGGATTGTCGCCTCCGAAAAGTTTTTTTCCGAGCCAATAAATTAAGTAGCTCGGGACAGTGATTGGAAAAAAAATCACAAATAAAACTTCTGTGACATTAACATCGCTCATGTTGAAATATAATGTGTGTTAGCTATAGATATCAAATGTTTCTGGTAAGTCTGGTAACACAGAGTTTTTCTTTAATTTGCAATTCTATATAAACGATTCACTTATATGCGACACCCCCTTATTTTGATTGGCCATTTTTTGTGTAAATTTATTTTGACGTGAAAACCAATCAACTTTTTTTACATTGTCATATCCAAAATCATACCGAAAATCTATTCTGAATATTCATGCATGTATGTGCTTGCAATTTGGAGTTCCTCCAGTTTGAATTTACTACTTAATATTCTATAATAAGTGATTTTGTATTGAAATATCATTTCAATTTGTCCTTCTTGTAATACCCCTTTTAATATTCTGTTAAAAAAACTGAAAATGTGTTCATAACATACGTATACATAATAAGGTCATGTTAAATACATTCAAGGGTCGAGATTGTAGTGCAAAAGAGAAGCTGCTGTCTTTTAGTATCACCGAAAGGCAAAGTTTATCTTACAGTCTGCTTTGATATCAAAATACCATTAAAGTTTTATCATAATCGATTAGAACAATAAGAATAATATAACATGCCCCCCCCCCCAAATATATCTCTGGTCTTGTTAGTGAACTCACTTTTAATGTTCTATGATAACAAATTTTGTGGATTCACATTCGTACATCAGTGTCCATATGGACGCATTTCAAGTTTATGTTTTGATTTATTGTTAATAAAATTTAGAATATTAATAATAAATCAGAAAATATTTTTCTTACAAGAAATACAAAAATTAATATGCTTTTATTTAATGATAAAACCTAGATTGTGTGGCAATAGCCAATGTTGATTTCTTTCTAAAAATGCCTGATGGACCTATTCAAATTTTATGTCGAATCTTACGTTTGTTCAAGCATCATTATAAATACAACATCCGAATAAAAACAATCGAAAACGGCAATTTAAGAATGTCGAAATCCCGGCACCAACAATCAATAAGTATTTACAAATATAAACGAATGAATAAATACTTTACAAATTATTTCTTATAAAATATCAAATAAATAAAAAAAAACATAAATTTAAGGTAGTTTCATCATTTTAAATGTCTCTGGCTCTCAAAATACTTCCCACCTACCGAAACACACAGTTTGAGTCGCTCAATCTAACTTTTATCGCAGATTTCATACTTTTTATTGGGGACAATTATTAATATTTTCTTATATAAGATTGAGTAAGGTATATCGTTGAGCTTCATATCGTAGACGTTTTTAATTTGTATCCACCTGTGTGCACACAGTCTTTTGATATGTCAGTACAACTGGCTGTTTCATGGATTTTGATAGACACTATGTTTCAAAGAGAGTGATATTTATCTTTAAAAGCACCTTTTTACCAGCAATGTAAGAATTTACATGTATTGAGATCAGAATACAATGTATAATATTTGTCTGTGTTACAAGTCAAGTACATCATTTAACCCTTTTCACGGTCTGCACTGTTCAAAGATTCAGCCATTACAAAATTGTCCATAAAAATCATGAACGGTTTAAGCCTGATTAAATGATGGACTAGACTTTCTGACATATATGGCATGGTAACGGAAATATAAAGCTTTCCATTTCTTTGTGTTCTCTTTACTTTCCCATCCAAAAAGAAAAATAGTAAGTTTTATTACCGTGTTTATCTAAACCTACAATAAAGGCAAACTGCACGTTGTAAGTAACAGTTATTTGATTAATGCGCAGTAAATTTTCATAAATAATACATTTGTTAAGACGACGCAAGCCAATTTGATGCCAAATTTTCATAAGCACAGTATATATTCATAAGGCAGGGGACTTGTACTTTATGAAAGGTTACTTGTGTAGGCGAAAGCAAATCATCTTGAAGATTTTATGCAAACAAACGCTTGCCAAATTAACCTAACAACGGATCATGAACATATGCAAATATGGTTTGATTAATTATAATATATATAATAGCAGTATCTGTGAGAATGGTTGAAAACAAGTCTAGGGAGAAAGATCGAAATGGCCCATCACATAGGATTAAAATATGTATTGCAGTTCAACTTGTGTGAATATTTTATATTTATTTGGCATTACAGTGCTCAATCATAAGTAAATATTAACCAGAGAAATATATATGAATTATCAATGCTTAAAAGTTATGGAATAATTTTAAAATAATGTTTTGGGGATTATGTTGTTTCTTGTTGCACGTACATAAATTTTAATTCTAATTCGCAGAAATATACATGAGATGTTTAGGTAAGCTTAAAGTTGTTTTTTTGCTATATTGTTAAAGGCTGCCTTTTTGTTGCGTTATAACAACTATTTATATATGTTTTCATTTTTTAAATTTTCACTTTTCAATTCTGATTAGTTTTTCCTGTTTCGTAGTATGTATTTACAAAAAAAGATCACTGGTGATTAGCAAAATGAAACCAATAACAACCTTCCTCAAATAATCAAAAACAAAGCAAAGAAATTTGAAAAGTCCTTAAAAAGTGTGTATTAGAACAGTAGTAAATGAAACAAACAGCATTTTTGTATTCATAATTTTACGAAATGTGTGGATACATTTTAATATAATTGCTTAAACATAATATTTTCTTAAGACCACACATATTCTTTAACTCGGGGTACCACATGCCAATGCTCGACAGTGCCGGAGAAAATGTAACACGATTTCCGCCGTATAAACACATTTGTGGATGTTTCAAAATTAAAAATTGTTTACTATTTTCAAATTGATTGTTCAGATTTGCTGGATAAAATAAAGTTTTCCGCTGCCGTCCGAAACAAATAAAATCAAAAAAGAAGAAAAGTCAGGCTAAATTTAGCGAGTCTACAGAGATCTCATTTTTATTTTAATGTTGGACGAGCTTTTAGGTACCATTTTGTTTAATTAAGATATAAAAGTAGCAGCATATGAAGAATTTGTTGATTTATAGATTTTGATTAATTGGTTTTGAAAGTTTAAACTTAGGTATGATATAGAAATAAACATATACAGAAACAAACAAGATAACAACAGAACCACTGACATGTTGCTTAAAAACTGGAAATACAGTTTCAAATTATTTTAACAACCATATGTAATGGTGTGGATGTTAAGTATTTTTATTAATAATTATTTATTACTTTAAAGGAAAAACGTTTGATTTGAAAGCAAGCAAAGACATGTTACATAATTTTGAAACACACGTGTAACAATTCTATAGGGTTTTATCCTATACATATTGTTATAGCTGAGCATACACAATTGCGCAATAAAGTTAATATGAGTATATTTGATGTACAACTATAATGATTTTTGAATATTTGAATATCATTTTTTTATATTATACTTGATGTCCACAAAAGTATTAAGATACATTTTTAACGATTCTATGCATTATCATAATTAACATATAGTCATAACAATAAGCTTTCCTTTTAAATAATATTTAGTGCTTTTAAGAGCAATGATGCACAAATTTCCGTGCTGGCAATCTGAGTTCATAGTTGTTATAATTGATATTATTGAAGCATTATCTTCTAAGGAATAAATCTTTTGTTAAAGAAATTATACCAGCTTGGGCTGAGGTTATCTAAATTCTTTACACCGATTTGCATTTTTGATACGTAGGAATTGACCATAAAGGCCAAAACAGCTCAGTTATTTTGATTCAAGGGAGATCACTCACTATTTTTCGAGCGAGAAATAATTCTGCTGCCGATTTTCGTATCTGATTGCTCTACTCTGCACCCTGGCTCGAGATCACAACAAAAATAAATTTATAAAGTTTCTTATATATCTTTATTTGCAATTATTTATTTAACAATTAAAACATACGTATCATACTGGATTGTATAGTGTTAACATACATGCTAGAAAGTAATTCTTCTTTCTCAACTGTATATGTGTTAATGTCATTCTGGTGCCATTTTATGATTTATATACTGGAGACGTCAATACGCTTTGTATAAATTGCCATATAAATGATGCCGTTGCTAATCTATTTTATCGCCGGATTTTAATTTGAACAGGAACAGCCAAAGTTTATTGACAGTTTTACACCTGTATCTTCTTTGTGTGTATAGTGACAACATAACTGGTCGTGCTATAATTGGGAAAAGTAGATCGTAACAGCTTAAATCACTCGAAACATGTATTTACTTATTTTGTCATACGAAGGAGTGGCTCAACACTTCTTCTTTGAAATGTCCTGATAAATTTGAGATATGCTATGTTTTTGGTGTTTAACATTTTGATCTGATGACATGGCTTGAGCCATTTCTTGATTTTTTTTCGTTTCTCCGATGGGCTTCTTGCCGGTAATCACGTGCCTATGTAGTTTGTTGAATGATGTGCTTATTGAATGCTGCCTTTCATATATGATCTTGGGTTTTCGCATATTCTGAAAAATATTCCTTTTAATGTTTGAAAATGAATTTTTCAACACAATTTCCTTCTTCCATTCTTTTAACAATTCTATAATCCCAAAAATTAATGTTAAGTGTTGTTTGGTGGTTGGTAAAAGGTTGGTACCTTTATATCCGTTTGATTGTATACATTTGTTGTTGAATACAGTTCGGACAGTTTTAATAAATGCCACCTGTTTGTGACCATTAATCTGAGTTTTCATAACATCTTTGTCTATACGGATTTCTCAATTTGAAAGCCAAATACCTGACACAAAAGAGCTATTTTCCTTTTCAAATTAAAGATTTTATTTGTTTTATTCTAATTATGTTGGCACTTGTATCTGAGGCTCGTAAAAGGGGTATTGAAATGCCTACAGTTTACTCACAACATGTTTGCCGAACGATGTGTATGAGTAATTTAATCCAGTTAATGGCATGGATGTTTTCATTACTTTAAATTTTAACATGCAAAATTCCAGCAGAAAATTATTCAATTTGAGTATTTTATTGTTTACACTAAAACTAATTACAGCTAGTTTAAGAGGTGATATTAAGCTTTTTAGTTTAGTCGTTTTGGTAAAAAGGCATTAATAGTTTACGTTCAATCAAATTAAGTATTTAATATAGGAAAAGCATGTATTTTATGTACATAGAAGAAATAAAACCGTATGATAGACAATCACCAACAAATTAGCTTTTCCTAGGTCGTCTGGGTTTGATTGTCTTTCGGTTGATGTGGTCCCTAACCAGGAGGCAGTGTTATAGATGATGCACTTGCCAAACATTTGTCACAAACCAAACCAACATCAACCTATTTCTACGTTATTATTTTAATTTATTGTTTTCATGGGTCTTGGAATCTTAAACTTTTAAAATTTCAAATGATTACTCTTTACTCATTTAATAAAGTCAATGTCTCTATTAATAAATTTGAAACAAAGAAATGATTACTTGCAAGATAAATATTTGATATGGAATCAGACCTTTCTGGTCATTGCTCTTTGGTGACATTTACATCTACTGCAATGGCATTCTGGTACTGCACTGGCTTGTTATGCAAATCCTTTCCAAAACTCAGACTTGTGTACACAGGATATATATGTATAAATGTCTTTGTGTTTTCAATGACCATGAGTACGCAGATTTAAGGTTGTCCAAAACGGCAAAATTAAAAATGTTGCAGGTTCATAATGTTTTTTACCAAACTTTTTTTCGTGATGTTATCCTTAAATGAGCCTCGCCACGACAAAACCAACATAATGGGTTTGCCAGCATGGATCCAGACCAGCCTGCGCATACGCGCAGTCTGATTAAGATCCATGCTGTTCGCTTACAAACCCTATAACAAATAGAGAAATTGATAGCGAACAGCATGAACCCTGATCAGACTGCGCGGATACGCAGGCTGGTCTGGATCCATGCTGGTCGCAAACCCATTATGTTTATTTTGTCATGGCGCGGCTCAAATATAAGTCTTTACCAAAATATCATATTTTACAATCGTTTCGCAAATCATCTGACATTGCAATCATTTAAAAGATGATAACACATGAACTTCAAAATGTCATAAAGTATGGTAAAAACAAATAGGGTTATATTGAAAATTTCAAGGGCGCCAGCAATGTACACCTAGAAACAGAAATGTTGATTTGAGGTGATATCATATCTTATCAACATGAGTCACATGGTCGTTATATTGAACTCTGATTTTTGTTTCGCACAGCAAGATAATATTTATATATTAACATAGATATATTGTTTCGTTGCATGGTGTTTGAAATATCATTTATTTTATTTCAATAAACACAGTTGTTACTTTACAAAAAGTGCAAATTATTCGAAATTCAATGAAAAACAAATAGTTATGATAAACGTTATAATGTCAAAGATAAAGGCACGTCGAGACAAAAATTAGATGATTGAAAGTATATCAGCTGTTTCTTCAGAATTATCCCACCCATGCACCTGTTTACTTTTGTTGTGATTTATTTTTGAAAAAAAAAAGAATATCCTGTCGAGGTATTTATGATCAAATTTGGTGTCTTCCTGTCTCGTTCTCCAATATCCATACGTCATCTGTAAAATAATAAGGATAATGATACAAATCACATTATGTACACGTAATTATGACTCAAATATTTCAGATGCTAATAAAGTGGATATGTAAAATATGAACGGTCTCAATTAAACCTAGCCTGCAACATTTTCGATTTTGCGTTTCTGTTGTACCCCTTTTATCATTTTTGTACCAAGGATTAAAAAGGAAAAACGAGCAAGGTGAAACGTTGAAAATTTATTCAAAACACCCGTCAATTTATATTTTATCATTTTCATGCTAAATCAGCTTTAATTAATTCCCAGTAAAAAAAGAAGTAAGGTTCATTAGAAACATTTAATAAACACAAATAATGTATTAAACAATAAAATTATGATGCAATCGACATAAATATTAAAGCCTATTCATAAAAGATTGACGGTGTTTTATCACTATATATTACATATGAATTCAAAATGAAAGTCAAATACCATAGTAATGTTTTAGATAAATACATATTTACCCATTTTGTTTTCTTTGACATGTTTCCTAAAATTTTATCCGAACAAAGTGAAATTTCAATTTGCATGAAAGTATTTATTTTACAAGAATAAGAATATTATGACACATGAATTTTGTTGCGAAGGTGTATAGTTTCAAAAAGAAGATTACTTTTATTATCTTCGGCCCTGCGGAACACTCCTCGGATACCTATCTATATCTCCCGAAAGCGTTTTTAAAAGCAAATAGATTAAATAACTCGGTACAGTGATTGGAAGAAACAGAACAAATAATATTCCTAAACCAATTTTTTTGGCATTAACATCACCCATGTTGTTTTATATTATGATTATGTGAAATTCTAGGTCGTAATTGCTCTTGATTTGAATGGAAGTATTGTAACTTTGATTGACATAATATATATCCACCCTCATGTTACACCAAAGATTTTTGATTGGCTATTTAATTTTAGACATCTTATTACCGTCAGCTATCTTGATATTATTGCACTTATTGCAGTTCAATATTGTCTTCCTTCCATGACGACATATACACCATGTAGTTTTTTTTAATCATTTTCAAGTGTTAACTCGTAGTGGTGAAAATGTTTTCAAAAATGTTGATACAGATAAAGAAAGGGGTTGCTAATTTCATTGCCATTGATTTATGGTCAACCAAAAAATGGATGCAATTTGTTATATAATTTTAATGTATTTAATTTTACCCGCGGGAGGGATAACCAGCTGTCGGAAATTTCAAATCGTAGTACAAAGATTTGTTTATAATATAATGAATGATGTACGTCTTAACATACTGCGTTTGATAAATAATATTATCACATACGGTCATAGAGACCCCTTTATGTCAATATCTTTACCTGTAGTTACGATTTTTAATATGATAATTGAAGTATATCTTTTACTGTCAAATGACATGAAAACCCTATGAAAAATTAAAATTTTCAATAAAAAAAATTAACACACGAAAATTCCAGATAAATTATCAAAACAGTTTTTATTTATCTTTCTTTCAATGTCAGAACATTTTCTTTATTTTTTAAATTTTTGTTGTTCAATTAAGTGCTTTACGTTCTAATGTATATAATAAGGTTGTGATGTACATTTTTATACATTTATCATGCTTTAGTCTTCTTATTGTATTCGGACTGAAGCCAGAAAGATAGTGTATTAAAAGCAAATTATGCCTCAAAATGATTTGTTTCTATTTTATCATCATAACTTATTTAAAAAATCAACAGTAGAAAAAGATTGTTAAAGTAATTGTGCATGAGAATCTTATTTGGAAACTTAAATAAGCCAACAGGTAAATAAATAAATAAATAAATAAATAAATAAGTAAAAAAATAAAAAATAAATATATGAATAAATAGATAGATAAAGAGGTAAATAAATAAAGAGAAAAAAAAGCATATATTGAGCATATTTGGCCTTTTTAACTGAACGAGATAGTGTTATTTGAAAATGCAAAAGGAATGTTACAATGGAAGAAGTACATGTATTGGTATTGCCTTTACTGTGAATAGTTGTTATTATCAAATTTCAAGCTTTTGTTACTGTTATTGTCACAATAACAATAACAAATAGTAAATATTTGCACAATTCGGTTTTTTCTTTGCAAATAAGAGACAACCTAAAGACAAAACCTTGACTATCCCACACACACCAGCATTGACTGTATTAATATTGAATCAGCAATTATTATATGTAATTAGAGGATTCTATGAAACACAAAAAAATGAACAACACATTAAAGAATTAAGCTTTAAAAATGCATTTTTATTAATACATTGCTTTCATGTTTTCACCCAAAATCCAATTACTTTTGCAATACCTGAAGATGGAAAAAGATTGTTAGACCAACAGACGGGTTCACAATAAAATGTTTATCTCTGCATTTTAAATCAGACAATTACAGTTACGAAATATTTCAACAAATATTACAAAGTAAAAGACATACAAAATTATGTTTCTTATTGTTCTAAAAGGTATTTAATCTTCATTGATTAAAAGTTCTTTACTCTTCCATGGATGATGTTCTAAGTGTATCGCCTTCTTTTGAATATAACTTGATAGAAAATGATTGATTTAAATCAGATGTTGTCACGTTGCAACTTTTTAAATCTAAATATGATTCTAACAGAAATAAGTCACTGCCTTGATTATATAAAAGCTCGATCAAACAAAGAAAATCAAAATATACCAAGAATACTTCAATAACTTTACTTACGTAATATCTATATTTCAGTATTAACGTGATTAACAGGTCGAATTCTTGGACAATAACAATGAACAACGAATCTTTTTCCAATTTTGTTAAGGCAGCATTTCTGAGAGACATGCAGTTTTCTGCCCCAAACAATCCATTTAAGCCGGCAACATCGACAAATAATACAAAGAAAACCTCCCTTCCTCGATACACTACAGGCATCTGAATGCTCTTTATTTTCTAACACTCCTACGTCTTCAGATACATTTACGTCACTCATGTTAATAATATATTACTAAATGATTTGAATCCGAAAATGAAGTCTGCCTCCCTCTGTTCTGGACAAGTTATAATCTTATTTAAATCTAACCAGTCAGAAATTCAAGCATAAAAAGGAAGGATCATGACTTAGGTATTACGTGTTCATTCAATCGATTTTAACATTGATAAATGACAATTGACGATAGGATAGGTTTTAAGTGTTTTTGTCCGGTTAAAATACCTAAGCCTTAACTAATGATAATTTCCAGCAATGAAGAACAACGTTGCTAACTGACATTTACATAACTAAGTTTTGCTCAGTATCGAAATGTATCATTTCTTTTTAGCCTTTTCATATGAACATTGTTTCAGAGTGAACTGTGTGCCTTAACGTTTATACCCTTTTATAGCATATCTTTTCAATTTGGGTTGAGGCCAAAAAACATTCTGACTAAAAAAATATATACAATTTTACTACTGATGTCAAGAATTATTACATTTATAAATATGAAGTAACAGGAACCCGTTTGATATCTATTTCAAGCATATAAGGCTTAAATGTTGCTTACTGTACAAATGCTAAATCAGCCCATCTCGGTGTACTACATGCTAAAAGTTTGTGAAGACAGTTGGTGGTTTTGTTTGATCTTATTTAAGATTTCAGAAAATGTAAACCGAGAATAGAAGTAAAAACATTTCTTAAATGTAGCCACGTCATTACAAACTGGGGCATAGGAGACAGTATTGTCTGATTTTTGGAAAGTTATTCTGTCACAGGTTTAATCAGAGTTGTTTGTATTAGAAAAACGACAAATGAAAAATTAACATGTTTGATGATCCTGAGTTTTTTTATTGTCGTTCAATTAAGTCCTTTACATTCTAATTTAAAAGTAAAGGTTGTGATGTACATTTTGTATACATTGATCTCATTGAGATGGTATTCAAACTGAAGCCATAAATCTTATTAAAGGCACATTATATCTTCTACTTAATCACCATAACTTATTTCAAAAAGCAACAGAAGCAAAAGATTGTTACAGTAAGGGCGCATGAGTATTTTTTTTGGAAACTTTAACAAGACAGAAAAAATAAATAAATAATTAAAAATAATAGCATATCATGAGCATAACTGGCATTTAAACTGCACGTGATGAGGTGATTTGAAAATTCGGATGGAAAATGAAAAAATCAATCAACAATGAAAAGCAAATATATAACAAAGTATACTTCAATTTTCATAGCTAGAATTCCTTTAAAAATAACTTTACTTACGTAATATCGATATTTCACTATAAACGTCGACTAACAGGTAGATCACTTGAACAATAACAAATAACTACGAATTTATTCCCATCTCTTCTAAGTTTACATTTTGATGAGACATGCAGTTTTCTGCCCCAAATAACCCACGGAAACCAGTTACAAAGACAAATTATACAAAGGCTACCATTCCATCTCCATCCATTACAGACACCTTTGTGCTCTCTATTTTCATTTATGTCACTCATTTTTATGGTATATTGCTGAATGATTTGAATCAGAAAATACAGTCTGTTATGATTGATTTGAAATCCAACCTGTCATAATTTTAAACGTCAATAAGGGAGGAGCATAACTAAGTTCCTTTGTGTTCATTCCATTAATGTAACAATGATCAATTACAATAGACAATATAATTGGTTTTAGTATTTCTTTTCCAGTTATAGTATCTTAGCTTTATCTGCCAATGAAGAACGACATTGCTAATTGAGATATTTAAATTATTTAGTTTGCTCACTATCATATTTAAATTTTAATGGTAACTATTTTCTTGGTATATTTAGGTGGACTCTTTGGGTTACATTAAGTTAAATATGTAATATATTGTTTTTCAATTTTATTTCTTTGATTACTATCCATGTACATTTAATAATGCAATGCTGAACTTATATTTTGTGCATAATTCATTTTTCAGTTACAAAGTTTTCATTCCATTTTCCAAACACAGCCTAGTTCAACAGATATCCAGACTTAAGCTAAATTTTTATTTTGTTAAATTGTATAATGCGTATTTTCAAAATGATGCCATCCACATTTCTGTTCCTGTTTAACTTATGCACTGTATTGCAATCTTATCTTCCGAAATTTATTGACACCATTGTAATCATAACACATTTCTGCGAAAAATATGAGTTCTAAGAATGATTAATACCCTCAAAAGCATTAAGTTTTGTGTCTCTACCTTTTTACTATAAGAACGCCACCGAAAAATATACGCTGACTGATGACAATCTTTCTTTAAAAACAATGCTCTTGTGTACGAAAAATGAGCAGTTCATAACATTGAATGAAACTGTAAGCACATTGTCAAAAGATCGAAACACGTCTTAACGCCTATCTTGTGGCACCATTCTAGGGCAATAAGATATTAATGGTACTATAGTGTTAAATACAAAATGATTAACGAATCTATTTTACTATCAACGGTCCTGTGAATGAGCTCTTGGTATACAATTTTTGTCCCCTGATAGCTTCTTTCTAAAAAAATTAATTTAGAAATACGGGACAGATATTGGAAAAAACAACACAACAATAAATCCAAGAGCAATGTCTTTGGCATTTATATCACTCATTTTCTTATTAATTTTAGTTTCTAATTAAAGTATTATCTTCTTAATTACTCCGTGCTTAAGGTATTAGCACCTTAATGCATTACCTCCGCTTTGAAGAGTATTCAAATAGGCTAGAACTACTGTTAACTACATTGAAAATGAAAACACTGGGTTCAATCCCCAGAAGGGTCAACTTTTTTTCTTTCTTTTTTTTCTTTTAACATTATTTATGTTTCTCTCATGTCCCATTTGGAAAGAAAAAAAGTGTTTAATTTTGATTTTTTAATTTATATAGGTATTTATTGGCTAAATTATGCTAAATCTAGTAATAAATATGGTACCTGATATTTTCAAAGTGTAATATAATAAAAAAAAACTAGACGTTAAAATTATTTCATATTTTACAAGATCAACCAATATACTTTTTTAAAAATTTAGGGAAACTTTGAAAACAGACACTCATTTGGGTAAATTTTTAGAATTTTTTAAATTAGGCTCCCTAAGTCGAAAAATGGTCAGACACGTGGTAAAAATGGGTGGGGTAGGGTAACATTTTTATACAGATTTCATAAATTTTAAGTAGAAACCATAATTTTGCTTATTTGGATTGTTAGCTGAATGGTACTATTTGTTTCTTACCAAAAATTAATGGGAAAACATTTTTCATTAGAATGTTATTGCAGATTATTTAAAGGTTCCTACTTTCTAAAAAAGGGCCTTCAGAACATCCTAGCTTGAGTTCAGAAAAATGGCCATAACTTGATTTCCGTACGGTAAACTTTGTTTAAATTTTGCATACAGGTGTACTTTAAGGTATACATCTGACTTATGATGTCAATTTTTTAGTTCCTGATTGTGCCCATTAGGGTCCTAATACCTTAATACATGTAATAAAAACAAATAAGACGCATTATTTTCTTTAAATATGTATTCATGTTAAATCATTGATCAAATTTTCTACATTCAAGAAGTGAAAATAACGTTTTAATAGATTGATATTAAAAAGGTGTGTGCCAGTAATGACAATTAATGAAATCTAAAAATTTAAAAGATTTTGTATATAAATTTCCTAAATAGGAAAATGCTTTTTTTCAGCGGATTAATCGATAATTAATGCTTTAAAAACAGTCAAAGAAGGAAAATGTAGGAATATCAAAAGCCGACTATAGTCAACTAATTTTACATCTTTATTTATGTTCTAATTTTTTCGTGACAAACATTTTTTGTATCGCCTCTCCGGAGTAAAGGGATCACCTCTACGTCGTCTTTCAATCTGTCCGTCTGTCACAAAATTTGTCCGCAATAAAAACTGCTTTAAATTCTTCAATATCTTACAGGAATGATAAGTACCAAGTCTTGTTGTGCATATTTTTGGCAATTTCTGGTTCAATGATTTTTGTCCCTTTAATGATTTTTATTTTAAAATTTGTTCCGAGTACGTCTCTTATACCACTGAAGCAGTTTCTGTGAATCTTTATAGGATTGCTCTGTAGCTCAAGTACATGGGTTTTCTGGTTGACAGACTTATGACCATTGAATAAAAAGCTGCTTTTGTGTTGCAAGGTACGCAGAATATTGTTCGCACTACTCTTTAGAAACTTCTGAATTTCAAACAATCTTTACAGAAATGATCAGTGTCAAATATAGTTGCGCATATGGTCAGCATTGTTTGGTTCAATGTTTTTTGTCTGAGTTATGGCCTTTTAATTATTTTTATTTTCGAAGTTTGTCCGGAATACTTCTCTTATACTTCGTATGCAATGTCAGTTAGGATATGGTTATTTTCCTTAAACGAAAAGTTATTCAAAATCATTTTATTGTTTTATTAGAGAAAGTGTATAGCAGTTTCCGAAAATATAATTTGCAATCATATTTGCTAGATACGCATGATAATTTCTTAGCTCAATTCTTTGCACATAACAAGATCATTACAATCAATAAAATATAATAATAAGAACGCATAAATATATATGTTTACTATTTATTGCTTATCAAATATCACATAATTTATGAAAATATAAAAAGGATATCTGTGTGCATTGTTCCATCATGAAATTGATAAATATATATACTGATGTATAAGTCTTTATACTAGTATTTCTAACAAAAACTGAAACACTCATGCATGTTGATATTGGTCGGTCTTAATTGCCCTTCGTTCTTTTCTGTTTCTCACTCTGTAACCTTGTATTCATAGTTCTCTGAAGCGAGAAAAACAGTGACATAAATAATATATTAATTTTTTTTGAAATCTCAGAACTGGAAAATCCATTCAAGTTTTGCTTAAATGTAAAGCAAACAAACCTATAATATGTGTTGTTATAGAAATATTAAATAAAATTGATGATATGGCGGAAGAAAAAAAATGGTTTGATTTTGTTGATGTTTAATTTTGACGTGAAAATAAACAAAAAAAAAAACGTTTGATCTGGGATTATTTCCTTATAATTGTTCATCCTTTGTATAACGCTTAAAATATTAAGAAAAAAGTATGATTTCATATTTAACGAATAACTTTTAATTGAACTGATGCATACATTGCTTTTATAACTATTTATTTTCCCACTTCTACTAACGGAATAAGTGGTACCTCATAGATATTTTGACATATTCCATTTTGTTAAATCAAATAAAAATAGTTTTACCTATTTAAATCTGTATATAAGTTAATGCATTAATATTTCATCCACAAAAGCATGCGTTTTTGGAGTAAAAGTAAAAAGGTCTCATGTTTAAGAAGTAAGTGAAACACAAACCTATTTCAAGATGTAGATTTAAATTTGCTGCTAAATCTGTTATTTTTAACAGAGAATGAATTGACAAAGTTATTTTCTCTACTGAACACTCTATTGATAAATTACGAATATATCTTTATACATACTATTGAATCAAGCACCACGAATTCTGTAAAGAGTAAAGGTCTCTCGGACAAATGCAATATTTCTCTATCCTAAAATTATTCCAGGGAAGACGCTTTGGGTCTAAATATTGACATTTTTCATACAGGTGGAACTCCACACCATCGCCAAAATCGTGAAGGCGTACATGCCTTTCCTTAAGTGTGTCGCCAAGTTTGGTTTTGTCATAATACATTCCACATACACATTTGCAACATGAATCCAAATACCACGGCTAAGTCCATCTGTGTTAAGTTCGTCAGTTGTAGCAATTATATATGTACAGTTGACATTGTTATGGGTTTCTGAAGTATTTACTTGAATTTGTTTCAATTTTTGGTCCCACTCGTTTATAGTTGCCATCTTGGAATACAGCCAGACGATTTTAAAGTTGCTCAAGTATTTATACTTGATTTAATAATATTTTCCACCAATGAAGAACCTCGTTGCTAATTGACACAATTAAAAGAATTTTATTGGCTGTTTTGATCACATTAGTGTTGTTACATATTGTGTATAAAATTTGAAGGTCACTTTTCTCTATGTATGGACTTTTTGAGTTATATTGATTTAAATATCTAACTGTTTGTGGTGAAAGGAAAATTATTCATTTACTTTACTGTTTCAAATGTTCCTTTTTTGTCTCAAGAAAAAGAATAACAAAACTTCGAAAACAAATATTGATGTCAAATTAGCATATCTTACTTCCCATTACAGAATAAAACTAACAACTGTTATCAAATTCAAGTTTTGTTATTTTTGTTTTATTTGTAATTAAGCGTGTTTTATGCAAATTAGATTCCTTGATGTCGGGTGCCAATACGCATGGATGGATACATGTGGTCATTCTCAACCAGTTAATTTAGCAAAGTCGCCAAATGACCCTAACTCTGCTGTTGAGACGTAAAATTAAACTCAAAGATAAATAAAAACAATAACAATTGATTCTACAATTTGTTTCATCCTGCCGTCTGTACGAAAGGCAAACGACTTTATGACTTGAAAACAAAACACGCATATAAACTTATGTTTGATTCTTCGTTCCCAAATTTTATTTTTTGTATTGATATTGATACATACATATATACACACATCTTAAATATACTGTTGCTTTATGAAGTGGGAATATCTGAAAGCAAGAAACGGAAATATTGGATAAAAATATTCCCGCTTTCATTATATGTTATGTGTAAGCTGTGAGAAAGTACACATTTAATTAGAGAAACATGAAATAATAAAAAAACTACTTACAATCACAATTAGATGTTTTATTTTTCTTTAACAGTCTAAAAACATAATCAAAATTAAACATTTGTTCCATTTTTTTGATTACTGTCCATGATGTTTTTCTTTAATGCAATGCTGAACTTATCTTTTGCGCATAATTCATTTTTCAGTCACAAAGTTTTCTTTCCCTTTTCCAAACATAGCTTTGCTATATAAATATCCACATTGATTTTTTGATTAAATTATTAAATGTGTATTTTCAAAATGAGGCAATTCACGTTTCTGTTCCTGTTTAAATGATTTCCTGTATTGCAATCTTATCTTCCGAAATTTATTGACACCATTGTAATCAAAAAACATTTCTGCGAAAAATATGAATAAGTTCTAAGAGTGATTTATACCTTCAAAAGCATTTTGTTTTGTGTCTCTACTGTTTTACGATATAAACGCCACCGAAAAATATACGTTGACTGATGACAATCTTTCATTAAAAACAATGCTCTTGTGTACGAAAAATGAACAGTTCATCGCTTTGAATGAAACTTTAAGCACATGGTCAAAAGATCGATACACGTCTTAACGCCTATCTTGTGGCACCATTCTAGGGTAATTATCAACACTTTTCCCACCTGTTATCAAATCTTTAATATATATTTACTAACCAAGGCACAAGACTATAAGGATATCTTAAACCCAAAACAAGTCCGTTTGTAATTGGACAATAAAATTTCATTTACGTCTGCCAGTTTGATTTTCTTTCGAAGAAAACTTAAAGAACAAATTCATATGTCTTTCAGTGTTTTCATAGGACTATATTGTCAGAGTGACATATGTGCCTTTACGTTTATATCTATTTATAGTCTATCTAATCAACTTGGGTTGAGGCCAAAATCCATTCTGACTGAAAATGTTAAAACTATTGATATCTGGAACTAAACCCGTTTCGTATCTATTTTAAGCATTTGATGTGCTAATGTTAACGTTGCTTGTGTATAAATGCTAAATCAATTTTTTTTTGGTGTACGTATACATGCTTTAAGTTTGTGAAAGCGGTAAATAAACCATGTTGCAGGTTTTGTTTGATCTTTAAAAAAAAACAACGGAAAAAGTAGACCGAAAATAGAAGTGAAAAATGTCTATATAGCCACGGCATTAAAAGTAGGGCATAGAAGATACTGGGTTTAGCTTATTTCAACAAGCTAACACATATTTCCATAAATTGGACGTACGTATTTTTATTCAAATTTGTATAGTTTAAGAATCAGTTAAGTTGTTTTTTTATTATGTTTTATCATATTTTTTCAATAAAAATATAAATTAGTTTTGTTCATTTTCTTGTCAACCAAAAACTGTTCGCCATGTCATCAACCTATCTGACGTTTCTTTGAAAAGGCAGTTTGTGTCATTGGTTATTTCATATTTGATGTTCCTTGTTTGATATCTGATTTACAATAGATATATATCGGAGTTGTTTATACATTTTCCAAAGGTGTTTGGTGTTTTCTTTTAAAGTTATTATACAGAGACGCATTGAAATTTCTTTGGCGAAAGGGGGGGGGGGGGAAGGGGTATCGTTAACTTATTTTACTCAAAACAAAATTACCGTTTCACTTCTACTCTCTCAAATTGATATGTGGCTAGTTTCAAGTTATATTTGTATTTAGGATGTGATATGTTGCACTGATTACTTGTGCATGTCTTTGATAGTATATATGATTTACCATTGCTTCACCAAACATTTCCATTATTTATTTATTCATATTTATCTTAAAATTTCGGGATATTTATAGTCAAGTAGACTATCACTAGACATTAGATCAGATACAAACAATACATTTTTGACCATTTTGCTTAGATTAAATCTAGGTCCACACGTAGGTAAACACCTACACACATTGCTTGTATTTCAACGTTTCCAATGGTTGATCTTCTTTCAATATTGTTTCAGAATATATTGTTCTACTGCTGTGCTATTCTAGTCATAATAATAAATGATAAAACAACAACAAATTGATGATATAAATCATTATTTACCAACAAGTCAAAATTATGTCTCTGTTTTATATCAATCTGCTGTTGTTTGCAAATATTTTGTAGGTGCGTTGCAACGCCTTTCATTTTAAGGTATTTTGGCGTTACAAAAATAATTTCTCTTGAAAAATGGATTGAGGGAATGATCTGAAAATTGCGACAAGTTATTTGTTCATACCTGTTTCGAATGTATGTAATAACTAATGATATATGATTATCTTAACATGCACAGCAATGAGCAAAAAGGTAGAACATTTTGGACATTGCATAAGTGTTCATTTCAAACTCAGGAAGCAATTTGAATATAAAATTCGACAGATATTTGTTTGAAAAACTGAAAATATTTAAAAGCGAGAAAAAATAAAATTACCATTTGTTTTGCAATATTTAATTAAACACATCTTAAACACATTATTTTAAATAGCAAATTATAGTAAAAGAAGATTTGTTGTTTCAAACTATATTGTTTATATCCAAATACAATACTTATATTCCTAAGCAAGAAACAAGTGTTTGAACCCTTGACATAAGAAATCACACAAAAGTATAACATATAACGAAATATTGTGCGTTGAAAAGTCCTAATTATACGTTTCATCTATCTTTTATCTTTAATGTTTCTTCTTTCCTTGGGTAATTCTTTGCCTTTTGCATCTCTTTCGGAATGAAATAGTTTTATTTGTTTCCATGCTGTTTCTGCCAAGGCTGTGTTTCAAATATATATCACAAGGTCACCGATATGTGAAATCGAACATAGTCACAACATATCAATTATTTGAACAGGCTTTTCTGTTGTTTTCTTTTTCACGGCTGTGTTACAAGTATATGTTACCAGATGATCGTAATCTCAAAATCTTTTTTCTTTAAACAACATACTGAAAACAAATATATTTTAGAGATAGTAATTATTTGAACGGTAAATGTAGCATCAAATAAATAGATCACAATTTTTCTACGTCATGTGAAATGACAAAAATAAAAAGATAAAATCATGAAAAATATAAATTAATTTTCCTTTTATCCTCGAAGTATATAAAGTTTGCATATAAGATGAAAGAAAGCACCAATAGAACGAACTTCATTAAATTTTATAAAAGAAAACATATTTAAAGATGTGAATGCTCTTTTTAGCCACTTGTAAGAGCACCTGTAACGTCTTTCCTTGTTGATCTTTTTTATCATATTTTGTCCCTTGCATGTCACATTTGCTTTGTAAAATTTGAACTTGTAATATTTCCATTCTCTTCATTCAAAATGTTACATTTTGTTACCAGCGGTGGCTTCTTTAATTGAATAAATATGATAAAATAGTTTACATTCATGTCTGAGTTACCAGGTGTATATGCAACGCAATATTGCATAAAAGCTGTAGGCACAATCTAATGATCTATTTGGTCGTAACTCATGCACGTGGAGCACAGCGGAAGTCAAGTTCATGTACAACATTTGTATACGACAATTGAAAACAATTCAATCTTACCTTTAAAGTGATTATCGTTGAGCCACAGGCCAAATCTTATCCTCACAGCTGCAGTACCTGTCATGTTGGACAAGTTTTTGGAGTGACCCTTTTGATTCGTACCTTTGTAATTCAACTGGAATTCGCTTTGGGTTATATTTACAATCTTCTTCTACATGCAGTTCTACGCCGTCGTCATACTCATATATTTTTATTGATTCTCTGTCTAACATTTTTTCTCTGTTCTTATACCTTCCACAATAACAAACTCTTATCAAATTACGGACATGAAACCTAGTTCCTCTTATATACCAGTCGCCTGGAGGTTCTTTATATTCGCATCCATAAACAGCTATGTGGTCCTCTGAATAACTAGAATCATTTGATTTTTTTAAGGTTAAGCTCCAATTTTCGTTTATATCGCCCATGGTTGGTCTTTATATCTATATCAAAATATGTACCTTATATAGCTAGAACCATGGAAATTTTATTCTAAAATTAGTTTATGAAGTAATGCAATATATACGAATGTATAACACTTGTTTCCGCTAGAATACTTATAAATAGGTGTGTTCTAGGATTGACAACGATGATGGTTGATTTCATTGAACATTCCAAAGTATTTTGAAATATTCAATACACATTCAAAGTAAGATTTGTACTACTTTACGCTATCTTAATAACATATTTGTCATAATAATTATAACGTCTTCGATTAAAACCGTGCTTTGTTCTACTAATGAGTTGAGTTGCCAACATTTTGATAAGTTAATGACATATAATGGACTCAATTGTCATAAATAATGGTGTAAAATTGAAATAGTTGGTGAGCTGTTTTACCTTTTAAATTTATGATTTCGGGCAAACTTGATGCCGTAATGATAATGTGTCATATCCCAACTGTTCTTGTAAGTCTTAAGAAATTCTATTAAACAGTTTTAATTTTGTCTATATGTCTATATAAAAACTCCTGAAAACGTCTGTAAGATTAATTTCATTTAACATAATCTATTGACTTTCAATGGGGTTGATAATTTAATTGGTTCTTAATGTGTTTTCTTATATAGAATATTATCTATTTTGTCCAAGTTTAATTGTCTGTACTGGTATGTTGCGATACTGTATTTTGTAAAGCCTGTTTGTTCGGACCCTTTTCTTTTTGCATTATTCGAACAGTTATTATTTCTAAATATAGAGGAGAAGTTCATCATATCTTGTCTAATGGAAAGCCAAAATATTACGTATTGCTATTATAAGAGTGGTGTTGCCGAGGATTTAATTCAAAGTTCATGGGTTTTCCACGCTTGCTTTAAGAAGGAGCTTCAGAATTGCATACGTCAAAAGAGATTTCAAAACAGGTCAATCTTAAGACATGTATACAATGAGTTATAAATAAAGATTAGTAATATGCTAACCTGCTTTTCTTAAATTGAAAACAAATCCTTGAATTTTTCAACGAGTTTTGCAAAGACGATTTTCTTTTAGAATAAATTTGTTGCCTATAATAACAATTGTAATGAAAATGCACACCATGAGCGTCACTTTCAGTAACGGATTGAAAGGGGTTGATAATTTTATTGGTATATAATATTAACCATACTATTTTTTTTTTACAAAACATGTAGTTTATTAATTACATACAAGCAGTGTTGAGTGATTTCATTATTTATTTGTTGTTTAACGTTCTTTGAGATTTTCGTAATTGTATATTTCGATTCATAAAATTTTAATAATATTTCAAAGCACTTCTTCAATTTCTAAATTAGACTTGCTTTTATTGTATATATTACATTCTTTTAAATAAAAATGTCGTTATATAGTTATGTTACTCATTTATATCTTTGTTAATCATCTTGTTTCTGAAACGAACGTTATCTTCTACATGACAAAAAAGAAAAAAATGTTAAACTTAATCAATAAGTTATTAATACTCTTCTTATTTGTATACTTCAATGACTAGTGCGATCAAACGAGCAAAACAAACTTTTAAGAACGTTTCTTGAAATACATTTATGTCAATGGAAAAAAGGTTTGAAACATTGCATAACTGCCATAAAAGGACCGCGTGATCATAGGCCATTGACAATTTCCACATATAATTGTTTATGATTGATAAATATTTATTGATTGAACAATTAGTAGTAATATAGAATTAAAACACGAGTCATGTATCATCAATGTATAACATGTGTCAAAGTCATAAAAACGTTTGTTTATTTTTCTAATTTGTAACAATTATTCTAAAACCATGCGTTTTAAAGTTTTAAAGAAGTATTTGATTAGGAAATGTGGTCTGCATAAGTTGCGTTATCATAGTCATTAAAATGGATAAGTATACACTAGATACATTTTCCATATTTTCTTTTCAGATATTATGATGCAAACAATTAAAGAAGTATATCATTTCGAAATCTCTGTTTGAAAAAAAAAATGGAATAGTTCTTAGTGACTTACAAAAGAGCATTTATATGATGAATTATAATATTTTGTTATAGAGTATTTTATTATCTGCTATTTATATATATGTAATATATGATCATTTATATCAAACTTGCCAAAACATCATAGTTCTTTCATAGTTAGATTTTATATCTGATACTTAATTCTTTGAATGTTATTTTTCATTGTATTAGAGGCGTTCCATTATAGAAAATGTCTCTTTAAAACATGAAAGGAACTGGGAATATAAACAACAAGTCTGATTTTTGTTGTTATGTAAGGTGCAAGAACCTAATACATTCTTTAAATAATATATGTATTTGTTTTACACGATCACATACCAAAAGAAGAAAAAGAAGAAAAAGAAAGACAAAATAACTGTGTTTGAAATCAATTGTTTATTGACAGATAAATTTCTAATTTTTTTTCAAAAACATGAAGTTTTCTCTTCAAATACCTACTAATTTGTTCTTACAATATATTATTTAAAAAAAAGAAATGACACTTATGCAAGATTTTCTTTAAAAAATAATAAGAGATTAAGTAGTTGTAAAAGAATGTCATATTTTATAAATACCTCTCATTTGGTCGGTATTAACACATTGAGCAGAAGAAGATGCTTTGTTTAGGTTTTGTTTTATTCATTTTTGTTATTAAGCTTTAGAATTATGACACAAAGGTAACAACCATGCAAACATATTTTTAAACTGAAAAATATATCCAGAAATTTATTTTTTTAATATTGTTTTGGTCTGTCATGAAGTCATTTGATTCGTTGAACTACAAACACTGCATAAAAATTCTTCTTGCTATGAAGCGATTGGCGCATTTCTTACGTGTTATAGAAACTATAAATGAATTTGACTTTATCTTCTAGAAAAATGTTAATTTTTACCAACAGCATATGGTTTTGGACAGTAACATACAACACTTATTTTTCCACCATTGTTCACAAGTGTACATTTTTTTGAAACATGTACTTTTTGTCCGTGAGTATGTGAAGGGAAAAGCCAGTGCCACCAAAAAAATCCACCACAATAACATATCAAAACGAGCTTTCCATTTATAAGATCTAGTTTTCCTTTACACGATCCCCAATGTTCGTGATTTGTTTGAAATATTTTCTTGTCCGCAGCAAGATTAATGTCAGACATAATTTACTTTGGTTGATATTAACGAGCTTTAAGTACTTTAATGCCTACATAAGAGTAAATATTCTAAGGAGGGAATCAAAACGTTAAGGACGTCACTACAAATGTTTTAACGAATGGCAAGCCGTTAACTGTTTCATCCCTGTCCAATCATTGCTTTCCGTTTCAAATTCTGGGTGGAGTCATTTCAGACGCATTGACATTCTACTCTACTTCCTATAAACGCTTTGTCTGCATGAGATTTGTATATACTTATTGAAATTGATATAAAGCCTCGTTTTTAAAGTACAAGTAAACATCTTTTTATTTACACGCAGAAAGGATATGATATGTTTATTAATCACATCCTATGGATAAACTCCGCGTGGAAACATTACATAACGGCGGTTTTCATTTATACGAAAGGACCAAATTTACTTGATTAGAAATCTTGGATTGAAGCTTCCTATACAATTTTTGTGCATTTTCTTATCTTATTTGGACATGTTCAGTAAGGCTATCTTAGATTCTTACCCGAAAGGCATTTTCTATCCAAAAATGAGCATGGTATATCTTTAACACACTAATAATACCCTATGATATTGGGCTTATACAAATCATAAAGAAAATCAACATATTTAAATCATATTGTTTTATTTCATATTATATAGAAAAAATAAAACACTTGCATAATAAACAATGCAAAACTTTAATGTAAAAATGTTTAACATTTTGACAAACGTCCTTTTTTATTCACTTTTTTATGTTTGGTGGTATTTGTCTTGACATCTACAAGTTATAAACGATCTGTATCCAAATTTGTTCACTTAAATGATTTATGTCTGTATAATGTTTTCTGTCTCCAAAACGGTTATCTGTTTTTTCCGTCTGAAAAAGGAAAACAAATCCCGTTAATTTCAAACTTATATCACACTGTATAAAACGATCTAGCTATAGTTTTTACAAAATAAATATATATAATGAAAATAAAATAGATAAGTTACAACAAAATAAAAATTTAAGCACATATGCAAAGTCAATAACAGAAATGTTATAGATACTTCTCCTCTAAAAATTAAGTTAGAAAAAAATAAATTATTGTTTATCGTACATTCTCCTGTCGATTAAAGTCCAATTTGTTTAGGACAATAACAGATTTTGTTCAATTTTATTCTTCCATCAGGTAAGTGTACAGCTCTATAATGACAACTGTTGTCAAAATGTATTTCAACACCATCATCAAAGTCTCCAATGTTAATGAGTGTATTCCTTAGAATGTACTTTTTATCGTTTTGTTGTCCACAAGAACAGACTCGGACTAGCATTATCATTGTATGATTTGTCCCAATAATCTGAATGTTTCCAATTATTTCAAAACGACACTCTTCTCTATAGTGAATTTCATGAGCAGCTTGTCTAGCAACTTTAAACTTTGAGCTCCATTCAGAAACAACATTTGTGTCAGCTTGCTGTGACATTATCTATTTTTTCTTAAAAATTGTTTTCTTTTCTTAAAATATAATATTTTGCCCAAGTCAAAATGTCTCTACTGTTATAATGCGATACTGCCTTTTGTAAAGCATTTGTGTTTGGCCCCTTTTATTTAAGCATTATTCGGAAAATTATTGTATCTAAATATAGGGAAGCTAATCATGCCTTGTCTAGGTAACTAATGGAAAGCCAAAATATTACGTATTGCTATTAATAGAGTGGTCTTGCTGAGAATTGAATTCAAAGTTCATGGGTTACCAACACTGGCTTTAAGTCAGAGCTTAAGAATTTCATACGTAAAAACAAATTACAAAACAGTTCATTCTTTAGACACATATAAAATGAGTTAAAAATAAAGATTAGTAATATGCTTACCTGCTCGCCTTCGATTGACACAAATCCTTCTATATTTCAATGCGTTTTGCACAGACAATTTTCCGTAAGAACAAATTTGTTGCCAGGATGTTCAGTTCGCCTATAATCACAATTTTCATTAAAATGCACACTATGACCGTCACTTTCAGTAACAGATTGATCAGAACTATCAAATGACTTGTAAATTCCACATTCACATCGACGGCAAAGACGAAAACATGTTTTGCCATTTAGAGTGACTTTTATTTTTTCATAAAAACAATTTTCGTTTGTATGCCTTTCTGCTTCGGCCATGATTCAAACTATTAAGCAGTATGAAGTGTTTAAACACGAGAATCGCTTATAAACAACTTTTACATCTCAAGTAAAGAAATAAAATGTTAAACCCTATAGCTTAAATCACTATTACATACATAGTATTATAAATGTGATTTTAAAGCATTACTAGTCATTTAATATATTTTGATTTGAAAAAAAAATATTTTGTATTTATTTCTTTAAATATTACATTGTCTTTTAGTTTAGAAAACATTAAAATACATATTTAAATACAAATATAATGATTATCTGTTTCAGGATATTGTATCACCGTCACGAGACGATCCCGTGATAGAGCAAACTAGACTTTTTGGCAAGCGTCCATAAACAAGCGTAGATAACAGTATTGATTAATCACTAGCATAAAGGTAAACACTGGAAATACAACATTTTATTATCTATCACAGATTGAAATTTCTGAAAAAATAAAAGCAAACATTCAAATCATTTTCCTTCAAATATAGTGCTACCCGATTGCGGGGCCGCAATTAGTTATTTTTAACTGCATTCCTTAAATTTGTTAATTTTCATTGACAATGTATTTCGTAAAATGTCTCATATATACTCATCCTTTAAGTGACCTGGTTATTTACTCCGGGTATCAAACAAATTGATATTGATAATATAAGTTTAAGATATATACAATGAGTAAAATCTGTCATCTGTTGTACTCCTTTTCTAAGTGTTCCTCCCCCCACCTCTTATTGTTACGGGGTTGGAAGAAGCACAATGGCATACAACAGTAAAATTATCTCCCAGACGACGTAAATGACAGGCTCCTGACGAATGTAATATCCTGCCATTGATTTTTCGTCCCCTTCCACGGCAATAACAAAGAATTCCTAATGTATTCCCGTCTCTATAACTTTCACACTGTAATAAATGTGGTTGATTTTTAAACATTTCTCTCTCTTCATTGATATCTGCCATTGTCTATTTTGTTTGAAAAAAAAAAGAAATCATGCATTAAAATGGTTGCTGATGGATATTTACAAAAAATAACCTAAAATTTAGAAGTGGACTTGAAACATTCTATAAATTATAACAAAAAATATTATTTTTTAAAGATATAATGACATTGAATCAATATAAAAGACAAAATTGCAAAATTATTTTAGAAATTATTTCTTTTAAAAACTAACCTTTGGTCGTGCAAACGTGTCTGCTCAAAGTTATAGCTGTATAAGACCCGTTTTTTTACGTCATCTACTTTTAAACTTTGAACGAATTTGTCAAGTTTTATCATGTTTAACAAATGAATTTGTCAAGTTATATCATGATAAAAAAGTTTAATGTTATATCTACAATGTATATATTTTTGCTCGTGAACAGAATTGATCAAATCATTTTTTTAATTTCAAATATCTGGATAAAATGTGAATTTCGGAAGCACTAATAATAACAATATTACATGAAAATTGAATTTGATTGGGTCTGTACATGAGGTATAATGAAAAAGAGCAACAGCCCTCACGACCCCTAGCACCGACCTGAGCGGTACTCAATTTTCAACACTTTAAAGATTTATATTCGGAGGGTAACAAGACTTTTCAGAAAAACACACGAACACAAAAAGACAAAATGAAAAAAATATTTTTTGGTTAACGATCACTTAGGTTGTTCCCATACATAACAGGCATTTATTTAAAAACATATTTGAAGTAATCTTGCAAAACAATTAAAACGATTCTTAACTTATAATTAATCTTTAGATAAATAATATGGAAATACAATGACTGTAGATGAATGAATATGCATTTTTGTATCGACTTTGTCAGGCAACAGCAGGTTGTAATAACGATTTACTGATATCTAGTAAGGTTATTATATATAGAGTATATTCAAATTTGATGTGATTTCTTCCAATCTTCATATGTTTTTCACATTTTTCACTTAAGTTATTAGTATAGAGACTAACTAAAGTTCGGAAACATGCACGAAATAGTTTGATAAACTGTCTGATGAGAATCAAAAAATTCAAATCTTGTGTTGATTTCCCTTCAATCATACGAGAATCCGACTCCTGAAAATACATACATATATATAAATGTAAGTGAGCTCGATAAAAATGTCTTTAAACTTAAATGTTTAAACAAAGCATCAGTTAATGAAAAATAATTGAGAGACTAAACTTACTGTTCATATCACTTGACACTGCATTGCAGTGTTGATTATCAATGTCATGGTTACATTCAGTGTACAGAATGTAAACCTTGCCTTGTGGCCATCTTCTCCACTTACAACCTTCACAACAACGACGGTCTTTACCGTCCTCTTCTTCAAAGTAAAAATAGTACGGAAAACGCCTTTTAAGATAACTTCTGTTTGGAAAAGCGCCACATTTGCATATTCTTAACCAACAAAAGACGGCTTCGTCATCGATAGTAAGATGATGCCGTTCATATTTACATCTTTTTCTGAGATGGTGCTCTTCTTTATACTCGCATTCGTAGCCCTCACCACAATCACTTGAACTGCAGCTAGATGTTGAACTTTGGGGTATATTCATATTAAAGTTATATTGTCAGATGCTAATTCAAAATGAATTTTTCGTAAGCATGACAAAGAATGCAAATGCTGCCTTTTGAGACATTTACAGCTTTTATAAGCTTAAGCTTAAGGTTGGCTGACGTGGTTGGTATCGATTAGGCGTTAATTCGTGGGTTCCCTAATTAATGGATTTATTTCTGGCAATTAAATCATATAGTCCGGTATACGCTTGAAGTCACTTTAGAAGAGTTTTACACTTATGAATCTTAACATAATTTATGAGTGATTAAATATCATGTTTGTTTAATGTCATAGTGATATCATAACAAGCCTTCCACATAATTACATGACGGTTATATATAAAAATAAATCTTCTTTCTAGTAACATTCAATTTTTGGCGTCCTTTCAAGTATTCTTTTAAATTCAACAATGGACTCATATTTGGCTTAGGTTTCATCATTTCATTGATATATTATACATATTAAACATATATGTTTGTATTCATTGATTAATGTTGTTATATTTTCGATCCTGGAATATATTCAGCATGAGTAATTGTTGTGAGGTTTTTGGTACCTTTAGTTCTTTTCAATTTATCTTTTTCTGTCGGGTGGTCCTAGTATACCCCAATTAAATACTTTTTATTGACCCTTTGTTGTTAGTCCTTTGACAATTTGTGATGTGCAGGCGTCATCTCATTCAAAATTCTTTTTTTAAACTTCGCTCATTGTTTTTTGTGTGTTTTTGTTTTTATTTAGGGCACGCGTATTTTCATTTTAGTACCATATACCGTTTTTCTTTGTAAACCGCCATATGAACGAATCTGTGGATGTTTCTTATTTCAAAATTTTCTCAGTTCATGTAAAATGCTTAAGTCGTTGCTAGAGGGCGTGGATAGAAGCTTGAAATCACTGCTTCTGTTCATGAACATGCTAAATTAAATAGAGCCGGCAACATTTTCAATTTTTGGCGTATTCGGATTTCCTTAGAGATTCCGTTTTCTCTCTATTTTATTCACAATAAAAGTTTTGCTATTCATTGTATACCTCTTTGTTATACACAAATCACACATAATCGTATTGTTTGATATTGTACATTTAATTGTACATTTAGTTTTGTGTCAACTGTTCAAAAGAAAATGACGTGCCTTCAATTGAAGGTCGCAAAATACCGATTTAGATATTTGTTGGTTGTGCTTCAGTTTTAGGACCATTATTCTGGTCCTCATCAGACTCACTTGAACTATTAGCTTGTGCCCGATTCATAATTTCTGTGAACAATCGTTGAAAGGTTTATCTGAAAACACTGTTGTTGAACCTTTTTATAGAACGACCTGCCTTGAAATGATGGGGATTTCAAGTGGCGTTTAAGTAATGGTGCTATATCCGTTGATAAGTGGTAAGAATTCGCTTGAATTATAAAGATCTGTTTCCTACACAAAAATCGAGAATGAGAGCCTCGTTTTGAAAGGTATCTACGTCATATTGATATATAGCTGATTTTGCCGGTTGTTATTTTTATTAGATTAAGGATAGGTCTCAAAATCCCTTGAAATGAAACAACAAGAAAACTCGTCCAACGTATTTTCCCCATGTATTATTCGTTACTACGTTTGAGAAATATACATTATATTTTTGAAAGAAACCAAGTTTTGGTACATTAATAACAAATATCCAAATAAGCTACATGTATAAGTATTTATTATTTACCAAGATTATTTTACATTTTATCAAGAAAACCATATTATTACCAATTTTCATTTTGCTTTTTATTAATTCCAAAACAGCAAAGCTGGCTGTTATTACGGTACATAGTTGAAAGGGTGTAAATGATTATTATTAGAATTGATTTTTTTATATAAAAATGGGATTTATTTTTTATTTCTTTCATTCGTGTGGCTTCGTTTTTTTAAAGTACAGGTTAACTCCCCATGTCATGTTATCTGTTAAACAAGCAGTAGTTATTTTAAATATCGAATATAACTGATGTATTTATCAAATCAAATATTCTGGTCAATAAATTGACCGATGGCCTATGTATTTGAATTTTTAGATAAAGAAAATCCAAGTGATTAGTAAAATGGACGTTCTGTAAATGTTGAAACATTAATAGTGCTAAGATGCCAATTAATATAACTCTATTGTGAATTTAGTAAATTATAATATGGTACTGATGAAATTTAAAATATTCTTCCAATATTTTTCCTGTTTCGATATCTGATCATAGGATAATCATTTTATAATGTATGTAACATGTTAACGTTTTCAATTAAGGAATAAGTAGTACACCATAACGGGAATACTTTTAAATTATTCTGTACATCTTCATTATTTAATTGATCTCATTCAAAAATCTTTTATTGATACCAACAGGGCTAATAACCAGAAATAGATTATCAATAGCTAACTTTACTAAATCTGATATTTCGTTAACACTGCATGGCATAAAACATGTTTGAAGGTCAAGTTGTGATATCTATGTCTGTATGAAGCTTTAAATTTTTTGTACAATGAAATTACGCAACTATACAGCAACGTCGATAAATCTGCTTTTATAATATTAAAAAAGCCTGCACAGACATTTTACCGATTGCAACGTTTTCATGTCTTTTATTGAAGTTAACGCAATGTTACAAAAATATTTATCATATTTCTGTAAATTATTTACCTTTCTTTTTTTCCAATTCATACTTGTCGAATTTTTTTAAATAGCATCACTAAAATATGTTTAAAACAGGACAATAAACATTTCAACTCTTCACTATTTTTTATTCCAATCATCTTCATACCACAATATATTTTAAGACAATAAAATACTATAAGACAATGCAATGCTGATAGACAATGAAAAATTATAAGACAATAGTTACAAATAGCATTTTTTTGTGATATATACATTTGACAATTGCTACTGACTAAAATTAATACAATTTTTTATCTTCTATCTTTATTCATCTGCTTTCTTGTCCAGGTAGTAGAACTGTCCTTGTTTTGTAGCAACAAATCAATTCCAGCTTGGCGGAACCCCTGAAATATAAAACAATTTGAATAGATCATCTCATGAGAAATTGTTTTAGCTTTTTAACATAAATAAACATATAAGTAATGATAGTTCATTGATCATCAGAACAGTACCGAACCGCGTTGTCATTAAGTGAGGAAACAACAACAAATCAACAATCAAAATGATAATAAAAACAAACAAAGAAACAAACAATCAAAAATCAAACAAATTATTATACGTGTTTCTATTTTATTTATGAATTTGCATAATTTAGAATGGAAACCCTAGGGAAATGTTTAATCAAATTGCATAATGACAATACGTTTGATATTACATTTGTCATTACACGAAACAGTGAAATGTTTATTGAGTTAGTGAAACGTTTAGTTTATATGCAAGATGACCTAATTACAGTTTGCTTCAGGCAATTAGATTAAATCAAAGTTTAGAGTTAAAACAGAAGTTACATTTCAGTCATACTGGCTTTGTAGATTGTTAGTTTATGTGTAAAGGAATTTAAACATTTCTATCTAAGGTATTTGTTTTACAATTTATTTCATATTTATTCATCAATCATTATGTTTATTTAGCGGTATATAACTACAATCGTTAAACTTGATTATTTAGAATTTATTTAATACCTTTATCAGAATAATATTTATTATTTTTCGACATAACGTGTTTGTTTTATTTTCTTAGATTTGTTTAGTGTATTGAACTGAATAAGCTAATTTCACGAAAAATGCATTTCATTGTATACGGTTGTTACTTCGTTACAGGCCGTAAATTGGAAATCAACTTACTGTTCGTTTCGCTCGTACTTTGGCTGGTCTGTAGGTTTTTACAACCACATAAACGATGTAGAGTGTAGAATTTCCTCCCATTAATTTGTTGCGTGTGTCTCTTCCATTTACAACTTGTCGAAAAATGAATTTCCTTTCCGTTCATTTCAGTTGCATCAATAGTACTTTGTGCTAAATATCCCATATCGCAATAGTTTCCACATTTACATATTCGTATATGCCCGATGACCTCTCTTCCATTAATTTTACCACGATATCGCTCATATTTACAATGTTTGTCTGAGTGGTGTTCCGTCTGACCAGTTGGTTGTGCTCCATAACTGTAAATATAGCCCTGATCTTCATCAGATTCACTTGAAATATTACCTCTTGGTTGATTCATTATTACTGATAACAATCGTTGAAAATAACGAATCAGTTAGAAAACACGGCTGTTGATCCTTTTTTATAGACCAACCTTCTTTGAACTGTAGGGGTTTTCTATTTGTTACTATTTTTAGCAAACTCTCACGCTCACTGGGATTACAGAGATATGTTGCAATTGATTACAAAAAGCTGTAAACGTGAGCCTCGTTTTGAATCGTATCTATATCATAGTAATTGTCAACTTAGTTTGCATTTTTATCTTTCGTAAGATAAAGGATGGGTTTCAAATTAGCTGAATTGTTGTAAAAAACAACAAAAAGGAAACACGTTTAATATTATTTTCTTATATATTTTATTTGTTAACACATTTAAGAAATTTACAGCGAATTTTAAAAACAAAACACTTGACACGTTTTGGTATATAAACAACACACACTCAAGTTAAAAACTTTTAGTATTGATTATTAGGTTACACTTTATCCCAGGAAGCAAGTCAATTATTATAAAGCTGAATACAACTTTATTTATAACTATAATACACTCTTTATAAGTTCAATGAATCATGAGCAACAATGATAGTTCTGTAAATGTATTCAGGTGGAAATATTTGTAGAAGTTGATTTAACATACTAGTTTATAACGTCAGTTTGAAGGTGTAACCACTGAAAAGAAGACAAATATATCGTTACATTGTAATGACAAGCGCCTGTGTTAATACAACTATATTTCATTATACTCTATCTTATATTTTCCTCTCAATACAAAATGGTAATGAACTAAGCTAAAACAAAAGAAGCATTATTACTAAATAGATAGTATTGCAGACTACATCACCTACATTAATGCCATTATTGATTAATCTCTTGTAGACAATTTAGCTAGACGTCCATATTGATTTCCTATTGCACAGCTCGTTTTTATCAATAATGATGCTATTATTGCATTCTTAAATTCATGGCATTAACTTGTTTTGATATTTTACTGGAATACAAAAATAACTGTAAGTTTTTGTTATATCTGATTGATTTTGTTTACATTGATTGTTTAATTTGCACAATACTTACTGTTCATTGCATGCGCGGTATCGCTTCTTGTTTGAGTAGTACATCCACTGCAGTATTGATTAAGAATATACACGGTTTGGCCGCAAAATTGTGATGGAAATCTTCGCCATTTACATGCACGATCAAAATGGATTTCCTTCCCGTCCATTGCTGTAAAATCCATTTTGTCTTGCACCATGTAACTTCGGTCAACGTATTCACTGGAACATTTGCAAAATCTTACATGAATGTGCACTTCTATACCCTCTTCGGTTGTGTAAACGTACCTCTTATATTCGCAGGATTCCAATTTATGTGTTTCTGTAATGCCTGTTGGAGAGGCGTTACTATTTCTATAAGCACCTGGGTTCTCATCGTCTGAACTTGAATTGCTTATTACAATGTTTGACATTTTTGCTCTGTACAATTGCTCGTTAAAGTATGAAAAAAATGATCGAAGAAGGAATAATGGCGTATGAAATTAACATAATTGTTCAAAAGAAATGCTTGTTTTCATTGGTCAGATTTTCAATAAACAACGCCTTCACCTTCATGACAAGGTCGCAAAGACGTCATGTATTTATAGCAAGTAAGCAAAAGTACAATGAAGTTCGTGAATGCGTGAGACGTGCTATCATTGCATGATTCTGTTGCAAAATTAGAAAAATACAACATTAGGGGTTTCTTTGTTTACTTCTTCACACAATTTGCGATGTATGATTTCGAAGCCTTATACAATGCATTGGGATTCCATTGCTTTCGAGCGATTGCACAATTCCCCCATATTTGTATAGCTATTGTCATGTACTCAGTAACAAGAAATACTTATTACGATTGGGAAACCATTGAATTCTACCGTCTAAAAATTAATTTTGTCGACGATTCATTTTGACCGTGGGAAATAAGTACAGTAAATATAACAATGTCCATGTATCTTGGTTTTCTCTTTATACACAAGTATTTCATAACAATTTCACATTTTCAGAAAATACTATTCCAGTGACGATAAGGGTATAAATAGACGTTACTGCACCTAGCATTAGTAATTTGTGTATCGATATTACTCATACGTCATCACCAGATTTCGTAAAAATAGAACGTTATAATTGTGCAAACACACAAGGTCATTCACCGATATCAGACATTTGCTACTTGTTTAAAGCTTTGCAAGAAAATAGGCCATTGGAAATAACCAAAATCTTTCCAACGTAAAGTTTAATCATTGCCATAAATACTTAAACCTTGAACGACATTCCAGACTTGCCACGTGTTCATTCATGTCTTTATAGCAACATGTCCATTGTATTCACATGGTTTTCCAAATTACGACATTGCGCAAGTGGAAATTCATCTAAATTTCCAGAGCAAATTGTTTATGTGTTGTAGAATTATTGGTTTGATTATAGAAAAAGTGTTGTTTGATTGGATAGTTGCTTTAGGTAGGTCATAACTTGAAAATCTATTTAAAGGTTTTGAGGTTTTTGTTGACTATCGATTTACCTACCTGAATTTTGATACTACTAGTACATTAGTTTCAACATGTTTTGCTGGATCACGAGTGTCGAAATTTCTAGATTAAGTTTATCTCTTTATCATAAGTTTTTCAATAATTGTTCATTCGGGTGAAAACTTGTCTGCTTTGTTATAGCTCTGCGTGAGGCATGTCTTAGTATAGAATTTCTCACGGGTAAACTTTAAATTATTTTTTTACTTTGCATGTCATGCAACAAGAATTTACATGAATAATTCAACTGATAAAATATCTGTCTTTATAAATAGATTGTATTATTGACACCATTTAGGTTAGTCGGCCGCATGATGAAATACGGTGAAAAGCTCTTGGCATTTAGCCAAACGAAAACAAAACTGAAAAAAACAATTGAACTTAAACAGTTTTAAGAACATTAAAAACATAAAATCGTCCCGAAAAATAAAATAATTAACTATAAAACGACAATTTCACTTTGATTATTTATAAAATTAAAAATGTATTTATTCCAAAATCAAGCACAACCTATCAAAGTTCTTATACAGTCAAGCAATTTTTACTTCAGCGTATTATTAAAATTGTTAGTTAAATTATATGTTGAACTTAGTTTGCATCTGTTTTCAGATGACTGTCAAAGACACTGCCTGTTCAGACCCCTCGAATCAATCAATGGCGAAACGACAGAAAGTCGCAGCAGATGAGGACAAACAGATATCAGATGAAATGATTGGTGCAATATCTGTTGCCATGGATTCAAAAGCAGACATGAACATAGTGGAGTTCAGTTACAATATCTCTGGTATATATCATATTGCGATCAAACATACTTTCATAATATATCTTTAAGATATAATTGCACATATTTACATGTATTTTAGAACTAAAGAGATGCGTATTTGTACACTTTGATGCATATTGTTAATTCATTTATTTAGTACAGTTTAAATTTATCGTGCTTTTAAAATACACTGATGTTCGAAGCATTTTACAGTTTCTGATGTAGTAAGTGTTTTACATAGGAATTTAATAACAAGTAAATATCTCCGATGTAGAAACATTCTGATTTTTAAGCACATGAGTAACGTAAATTCTCTTTACATATCTTTTCAGACACAGAACTCGCGCCCGGTGATCCTATATCTGATTCTGAGCTTCCACCTAGAATAAAAAAGGACAAAAAGAAAAAGAAAAGGCACAGTAAAGAAAAGTCAAAGACGGTTACAGCAGACGACACCAATACTCAAGGCACAGACGGAAAGACTCAAGGCACAGACGAAAAGAAAGACACAGTGCAAAACTAATAAAAAACTAAAAATATATAAAACTATATTATATATAATGCTGAACTGAACTTTGATCTCAATCACCATTCATCATAAATACATTATTTTGTTTTAAATACATATTACACTTTATGCATTTGTAATACATAACGTCTTTATTTTAGATCTTTCTTGATTAAAGGGAAGTAACTTATTTGTAAAAAGATATTGCATTTACTTTTGTTGATAATTTGGTGTTCTCATTTAGAAATGGCTTACTCTAACATGGAAAATTACAATTTTGTTCATATTTTCTATACAGGGAAGCTATTATCTAATGATAATACAGAGGTTATCTACATTATGAATGAATTAGTTCTGGCAACATGTGTGATTGTTATTGTGTATATTTTTGCTTAGAAATTGTATCGTTGGATAGAATGTGTCGTACATTTTTCATAATTAGTTTAATCTTTTTTATAATAACCATTTTCATGTTAAATATATTCATGCTATATATTTTATTGTAACAAAAATGTTTCTAAACAGATGATTATTGCTAAATTAAGAAAATGTTTTATTATATTGCATATTTACTGATTAAGGGGAGGTAACACTTATACTTGACAATGTTAATGCCTATAATTTAATGTTTTCACAAACAAATACATAGGAATAGAAAAGAACTTTAAATTTTAAGTGAACAAATACATAGGAACAACTTAGAAAATAAATTCAAACTTTAAGTGAAGAATATGCAATTGAAATGAAAGATATATGTATTATCTGTTAGTGTAATACGTTGTATTAATAGTTTTTGCGTTATTGTTTTTCATTTAAATTATAATTTAATACAATTGTTGCCATTTTTTGTAAGAATTTTTTATAATGGGACAGTTTCAGATGTTTAATGAATTAAATGCTAATTTGCACATTTTTCTTTTTTCTAGAAAAAAAAATAAGAATAATGTTTTATAAAAATGTATGCCAGGAAAAGACACAATAATAACCAACAAAAAAAAGACAACATCCACACAAAACAACAACAACAACAAAATGATATATACAATAATCAAATTGTTATTTTTACAAACAAGAATAGACTACGGTTTATATAACATACGTTTGTAAAAATGATTTGTTTTCTGTATCATTTTGAAAATTCCGTGTTGCATAAAATATTATTATTTCATTATATTATAATAAGTAATAATTAAATAATAAATAGTAAACAGTAAATTTAAATGGAGTTTGTTATATGTAAACTAAAGAAATATTAGTAATTACACGCTTTACATGGTAACAGACTGGTATTGATATCTATGAATCACGTATAACTCTAACGGCGTATCGATATAGTTTGACCTGCGATAACTGTTTTTAGCTATTAGGGCCTGTATATTACATACCTTCCATCGAGTGTGACAGTTCTTGAAGAGTACGTTTCTTTTAAACAATTAAAAATTACATTTGGTAGCAAAGAAACACATCATCTTTGTGATGTGTTTTTTAATACTTTGATTGTGCGCATAAGTAATATAAACGAGTCCGAAAATAACACAAACTGCACGTTTTGTAGTGGAAATGATTACTATTTTAAATTTTTATTGTTATAATAAAGATAGAAATTAAGATAAGATTTTACACGCATTATAAAACTTATGTTGTATACGAAATTAGATTTGTAATATAACAAGACTCTAAATAGCGTGTTGACTTGTTAAAGGGAGACAATTCAGAAAAAAAAATCAAAAATATGTAAATATTTACTTTAAGGTACATTCGGTTATTGACTTTTATTTGTAACGAACCTTTATTGCTTTATTTAAACAAGTGTTGTTAAATTCTTACATAATGTTAAACATAACTGTATTATTAAACTTAATTGATTAAAGTTAATTTTGCTTACGGAAGTAAATGTTAATAAAAGATAAAAATATGCAACCCAAACTCACCGATGCTAATTGCTTTTGGTAGCTTTAAACAACAACAATACATGATCTTAAATTTTTTAATAATGTTTATGCATATAATTAATTTTGTTTTATCTTTTAAATCTGATTTTATAATTAGTTAATAATTAAAATTAATTAATATGATTTTTATTACGAATAAGTGTCATGAAAACCAAATCGTTGAAATAACAACGTTGTTACTTTGAATTCAAATTCCTAACTTGTGTGAATAACGGGCAACACTGTATAAACTACTATTCTTATAGTTTGGTATATCATTACCTATTTCTGACGCTTAAAGTTCATTAATTAAGATTTGTTCTCTAACAGGGTTTTAGATTTTGTTTACAATGAAGGGAGACAATTACAACACATTATTCTTACAAGTGCATATGCAACGCTAGTTCAGTATAAAGGATGTTATTTGTTAAGTAAAACAATATCGTGATTTAAACATATTTCGAAAAGAAAAAGTTATATGGTGAATATAATTTACTTAAATATGATGGAAATACTATCAAATATGATGGTAAATTAATAATAATCAAGTTTGTAACAGAACAAACAATATATCTTTATGGTATAACCCGGGTTATGTTTAAATTCTTTGTTATTGCAATTAAAAAATCACATTTAAGCGCTATATGTATACTTTCGTTTAATTTTTACTGTGTATTTTATTTTTCAATAAAGGAAATGTTTTCTTTTATTCTAATCAATATCAAAAATGTATTAATAAACACGTTGTTATTTAATTAAAGAATAAAGTGGATAGTTTTAAATATGTTTATACCATCGTTTTAATCAAATAATTGATATGTTGGCAGTTATAATTGATAAATGAAGGTGTTTCTATTGAATATATATATAGGGAAATGTGTACTATTTACCTTTAAAATGACATGCATTAATTTTTATATACAATCAACACGCTTATGGGTTTCATATTAAATCATATAGAAAACCCTAATTGTAAATGTTGTTACCATAAACAAATGTCTGTTTAAGGGAAATCTGGATACTAAATGGAGGCAAAACTGTGTATAAATTATCAAATATGTTTATAAAACAAATGTTTTACTGATAAAGTTTGATATTTTGTTAAATATAGAATTATTTTATGGCGTTTTAAATATATATTAATTACATGTTAATAACAGAAACTCTTTCACATTTTAAACCATTACAAAATAGTTTAAAATAACTTTTCATGCTCCATTTGAATCATTATTTATAAGCAACTATTATTAACTTATTGATATCAATATCTTAGGATTATGTATAGAAGTGATGTTACTACATGTATAATATGTTTTGTTTAATAAGATAAACATCATGAAGTTCAACGTATATTTGTTACGTATATCCATTTTCTTTAAACAACATTTGTCTTAGAAATTTAATAATAATATGTGCTTGTTAAATTAAAACAAGAAATAAAACGTTTGATATGGACGTGAGAACTGTTTTTATATATTATAATACATGAAATTAAGTTTATGATGAAGGGAATAAAGATGAATAATACTAACAATAAAAAGGAGCGAAGAATAAATGTATGGTTATTCTTTACGGTTTTTACTGAAGATGGAGACTTACTGTATACGACTGTAATTTTTTCTTTCCTTTAATTTTTTTTTTTTTACCC